ATTTGTTTAACACTTTTTTGTTCACTGCATAATTCAATTTGTGTTATTTAATAGTTTTGATGCCTTTACTATTATTCTAAAATGTGGAAAATAGTAAAAATAGTAGAAGAATGGTAAGGAAAAACCCTTCTATGAGTAGGTGTGTCCAAACTTTTGACTGTTAGTGTACATCACATGAACATACTGTTTGTGTTCTCATTTACATTGCAGATGTCAAAGGTTATCGCTACAGCATCTATAAAAATCAACATTTCACCATTTGTGGAAGTAGCTGTATTATGAGCACTGAATATTCTACAGGGCACATTTCACCAGCAGGATAAGTCCTTCAGCCTGAGGCCAGGCGGTGATGTAGCTGTGCACTAAATGGTAGTGATGACGTGCCTGAGTATTCCCGGAATCTGAGGGCTGGTTGCCATAGAAGCAAGGCATCACCAACCAGTCATATGACAGACAATAGCGACCATAAAACACAGGCTGACTGTTTACATTGTTATTATTATGGATTGTTTGCTTTTATTCATGTTTCCGTGATACAGTTGAGAACCACAGCTGGGCCTAATAAAAAATAATAATGATATTGTTTGTAATACAATTGATATAGAATATGCCATGGAGAAGCAAAAAAAGTTGAACAAAGAATGCATTGAATAAAGAAAACATACAAAAACACATAAAATGGGTTGGTTTTGGGAAGATGGTTTTGAGAAAATGAAGACAGGCTAAGGTTTAGCTAAGCTGACACAAATACTGGATATCAATACAGTATTTTACCATATACAGAGATATGTGTGTATGAGGAGCATAATATCATTACAATGTCCTGACAAGTTCATTTGAGGTTTTTATCACCTGCTTATGACTAGGTTTTCAGTAAGCAGTTATACAAGTGGAAACAGAGACCAGCTTTAGAGTCTTATGATGTCATTTCCATAGAAACACCAGCAGTGCTCTTTGCCTCTCAGCTTGCTTTGGTCACATATCACAGCCTATTTATGACATCACAGCTTGGAGCAACAGCCTGTCAGGGCAACATTTCAGACCAAATGGCAGTACCAGTCTTGTAGATCAAAGTTGCACTATTGAAATGGGTTGCACTGTTTAGATTAAAAGTGCTTTTATACATTCTGTTAAATGACTACTTGGCTTATTTCAAATGAGGCTTTTAGGATGTCCGTCTGAGTATATGCCTCTGCCTATACTTGACCACCAAGCTTAACAAAAACACATTATGGAAACTTGCACAATACTTGTATAAATCCAATTGCTGTAATCCTACACAACTCTTATTATTCCCAAGATATTTAACAAAACCAAGAATTTGTGTGACACACACATCTCCTGTGGCCACTAATTTGCAAATTCTCAATTGTGCATGACAAAATCTTCATACAAATCTTTTTAAATATGGCAATAACCAAAATAATATTCCAAAACAGACTGCAAATTATGGCACAACAGAGAATGTAATGTTACTTCAGAAAAAAAACCCAAAATATTTTATGTGATATCTAGATACTGTGCAATAATTCATTTAAAAAAAATCATATTACATTTATCAAGGTCCAGAGCTGTCACAGCATGAAAGACATAATTATACCTTCGCATAATGACAGCTTTTACTGCTAAACAGATAAGAGCTTCAGTGAATTGATTATTGTGTTTGAATGTAATTTTTTCAATTTTCCATGTATCTGTCAGGGCATGTCAGCTGATGACATAACAAGGCCTGAGGTTTCCCAGAACACAGCATGTGCATCTGAAGTGTGTTCTGGGTTTTTGCCAATGTCTCTCCACTGCGTGTGGATTCAGTGCCAAGAGATACATCTTCAAAATATTTATGAGTTTATGTCACAACATTTTCTGTCATTCTCTTCCATGTTCTTTTTTTTTGAACAATTTAATATTGTAATGGTTGTATCCCTAAAATATGAGGCACAGGGAAACCAGCCAACCCTTCAGCTTGACACTGCAAAATATCATCACAGTTCTCTTTTAGTCCTGTGCCAGAAAGCTGCCACAGTAGAAGTAGATCAGATTGGAGCTGTCCGAGTCCTGTCTACTGCCAGGCCTTTTGAATTAGATAGCCCTGCTGCACTGTGAAGAGAAAAAACCAACAGATCGACCATTTCATCAGCAGACATAACCACCAGTGCAACCAGTGTGGCCACCTCTGTGCTCAGTGTACACTACATCGTATGGCCAATAACAAGCATAGAAAGGCCAGTTGTGGATGGTCTTGGGCTACTTTAAAATGCTTATTTCAAACAGCAAATTTTTTCAAACAACCAACACACGGGTACATTTCTTCCTGACCACTATACATTATATCACCGAAGGTACTTTTAAGCAAACACATCTTCCACACACAGTAATTATACACAAACATAGTTTTCATTTATTTATTTATGCCACTAGTTAAGGCCATTAGCAGTGTTACACAGCGGTAAGTAGCAGGGCTAGAGACATGAGAAATTCCTGGTTTGTGCTTGATACACCAACCATCTCCCCTTCCGAACAGTACATGTTTATTTGTACAGCAACAGATGCAAATAAGGCATAGAGACAAATGGTGAAGCTAAACAAGCTATTTTAATTATGTAAAACATACTTGTGTTTACATATGTCAGCAGGATAACTTAGATGGGGTCATGTAGGGGGGACGGGGGGACATGCTGGCTGCACAGTGCGGATGTTACTTGACATATAAATCATAACGGTTTGCTTTCATGTGAACTCCATTACCTTGGGCTGTCCTGGTATATGCATGTATTTTATCCAATGCGTAGAGGAACGAGTAAAGATGGTGGTTGCTGGCCAGTCCTTCTGCTGCGGCACTGTGGTCTGTATGTCAACACTCACCTTGTCAACAGTAAACAGAGGGCTGTGTATTTGTGGGCTGACCACGTAAAACCCATAGTGGGTAGCAGGAAGTGATGGTTTCATGATGAAACCATGAAACCAAAAAGCCAAAAAGCCAAAAAAAAAAACAAAACATACCATTAGTAGGATAAAATAAAGCTTTATTACATAGTTTTTAAATTTATTCTACCCCAGGTCTGAGTGCGTGCCTTATAAAAACTACACAAGCTAATGACAAAAAGCGTCTGGTTTCAAAATACTCAGTAAGGATTCTATGAACAAATTCATTTTACATACACTTACATTCAGTCCATAAAAAATAAAGTGTAAAAGAATAGAATAACCAATGTTCAAGAAAATACAAAGTCATTCTGAGGCAATACTCCTGCAGCATGTGCTGCTCTGACAGACATTTGGTAAAATAATAAATTATATATCATGAAAAAGACAAGACAATCAATAGTAACATTTAACTATTTTTACTACAACAGTTTACTGGAATTATATAACAGCAATATAAATAAATTTGTAAACATAAATTATTAACATTCAGGTCCAACTGCAAAGACTGCTCCAGTTCTAACAGTGTTCAGTGGACTGGTGGTTTGCACCCCTGCTGAAGTCATTTTGATGGACCCTTATTGCTTTAAATGCATTTTTATCATTGCAAACTCCATTCAACAGAGATGGGTGTAGTGTCTCAGCTGTAGGTGACACAAGTCTCTGACAGATACAGTATTAGTTGAGACTAAAGTTAGTTACTTAGCACTGTAGTTTGTATTTGCAGAAGGTCAAATGGATTTTTTTCCACAAAAACAGAAGTACAGACCTCCCAACGAAACATACATTCATAGTATTTGTCTTTTTCTGTCAACCATCATAAGTCCTGTTACAGTTACACTACGGCTAATACATTAGACATAAACATAACAGATACACTAAAAATCACTTAAGATATAAATAAAAATGCAGCCAGACTATAGCGCAGTCCTCTAGCTGTTCATTAATGAGGAATCTGTTGGATATAATTCATCATGTCTCAGCACAAGCATGTCACTTCTGCATCTCAACAGGAGTCATCTGGAAAAAATCATCCTATGGAGGCCTGTATTCCCACGAGAAAACAGGCTCTTTCCAGTGAACATGCAGTGAAAGGGAACAGACACTACCCCTTTAAAAATCACTGAGGGATGACCCTCTTGGTTAAAATAATATAGTTTCCTCTTGCCGGGAAAAAAGTTCCTCTTGTCAGTGCAGCCCAGTGAATATAGCAAAATTCAGCTCGGTCCATCTCTCCCTACAAATTGACCGGAAATGGAAACCTTTATAAAGGCCTCAACCATTAGTGAGTTTTCCTTTAGGGGGGAGTCCATCTCCCCCCTCTCTGCAGTCTAACAGGTGGGTCAGTCCTCCTTATCAGGCTGTACCCCCAGCATGAGGTGCAGCTCCTCCGCAGAGTAGCCCAGCAGGCTGCGGAGGTTGCAGACGAAGTGGTACACGTAGCGCTTGCCCAGGGTCTTGTGTATGATGTTCTTGTCATAGTAATACCGCAGGCCCCTGCTCAGCTTCTCGTAGTTCATCTTCGGCTTGTTCTTCCGCCGGCCCCACCGCCGTGCCACCTGGGTAGGAGCAGGGAGACAGGGGGGTCAGCCTGGCTGGCACAGTGGTTAAGGAGCCAGGCTTGTAGCCGGAAGGATTCATGTTCGGTTCATAGGTGGGGCACTGCCACTAAAGTTTGATTGACTGGAATTGCTTCAGTAAACATTGCTTCAAGCTAGAGGAAACCCTTGACCTTCACGGATTTGTTGTGCGTGGTTTTGTTTGGTTAGCACTGTTCCTGGCTTCACATTCTCTTCCCAGGCCGCAATAATCACATTTTTATTTTATCATTTATTGCATGTATTTGCGTTTTTTTGTGTGTGTCAGGAACAAATGCATCTGAACTCTCTGATGTTGAACACCAGTTAAATTCTGTGGTCCCTTCTTAAATTGTTACCTTACATTATTGTCATTTAGCAAATGTTCTTATCCAGAGCGACTTACATAGGTTACAATTTTTACATGTTATCCATTCATACAGCTAGATATTTACTGAGGCAATCGTGGGTTAGGTACCTTGCCCAAGGATACAGCAGCAGTACCCCAGCAGGGAATCGAACCCGCAACCTTTCGGTTACAAGCCCTGCTCTTTACCACTATGCTACACTGCCGCCCCACATGCCTCTCTCAGGTAAATCTTGCTGTTTCACTTCATGGCAGAGCTGTGCATATTTCGGCCTGCTCACCTCGTCAGGATCCCTGAGTTTGAACTCCCAGCCATTTCCCGTCCAGCTGATGAAGGACTGACATGTTCGGTCCGTCAGCAGCTCCAGCAGGAACTGCCACAGGTGGATCTGACCACTGCCTGCACAGGCAAAAAAAAAAAAAGGATGATGTCACAGACTTCAAAGACTTCCTGTCGCTAGAATTGCTGAATCCAATGTGATGTCACAGACAACCATGGCAGTATAAAGGCTTCCTGTCTGTACACTGGAGCTGATGAGTATTGTGTCATATTGGTTTTGCTGCAAGATATGTGTATTGTGTATGTATTTGCAGATGTTTATTATCTTAAGATATGTGGCTAGTTTTGTGCTATTGGGTTTATTTTTGTATTTGCCATTTGTATTCTGAACCTGTATCTCCTAATTCTTTCTAAGTTACCTTGCATAACGATACATAACACAAATACATAACACTACACACACAGCAGGAAGGAGATGAACAATGGTCAAATAATATCCTATTTCCTTATTCTGTGAAATTTACAATGCTTAAGGATTTACAACTTATATGACTTATATCCCAGGATAGTCTGCAATCCAGTTGCACAGCTGAAGACAGTAGCAATTGTCTGTACCTTTCTCAAAAGTACAACTAATAGTGAGGGAGTCATCAGCTCCAAAACTGGGCAGGGCTATCATCTTCTGTTAATCTCTCAGTTTTGGACCAATCATTGTGTTCAGTCATACATTTTGTTTGATTGGTTGTTGATTGGTTCATACATGTCAGTGATAAAAACAACGCAGCAGCTCCTCTCATTGTGATTGTTTTGTGTATGGTGTATTGTTATTTTTCCATTAGTTCCCTTTTCAGCGTAGAGCCTGGCAAACCCACAGCCATGGGTTCCAAAGCGCAGTCCTTTACCCGTTAGCCCACATTGCTAACCATGGCCAGGGAAGTGGAAGAGCTGCTCACCAGTGAAACCAGCCAATGTGGAGGCCGGGATGACAGCCTGGCCCGGCTCCATCGGCCCCTCCCTCTCCTGCACGTAGTCTTTGAAGGATAAGCCCTGGATGCTGAGGCCGAGGGGCCCCGAGCGGCTGTCCTCGTCAAAGCTGTCGTGGGACGGAACCTGCTGCATGTCGGGCTGGGAGGGCTGGCGGCTCCAGGGGTGCGGCAGGAAGTCCGCGCTCCCAGTGCTGTCTTCACTGTCCAGAGAGCTCTGGTCATGCGATGACCCTGAAAATGGAAACGCGCCCAGGTGCGGCCGACGTCATCGCAGGGGCACAGCCGATTCGGATTCAGGGATGACTACAGAATGACACGCACCCACCCACGGTGCTTCCAAATTAAGGTGGCTTGCTGTTCAAATATGCCCCTTAACAACGAACCACCATGATATAGTGAGCAACACCAGTGTACACTGTACTGTACAGGCCGCACAGAGATGAAGAGTGCAGTTAGTCCTCCAGGCCACAGGTTGGCACCAACAAAATCAGACACAGATGCCTGGATTCTGAGCTAGCGGTGCCTGATAAGAGCACCATGCATCTGGAATGTATTTTGGCTGTATGCTGTAACCCACGTATCAAGTACACACAGATAAGTTAAATTACACTTACTGGCTGTGCGGAGGGCTTTGCCAGAGTTGTTCCTGGAACAGTCCTGTTTGAGGGAGGTGTAGGTAACAGTTACAGTGTCAAGCTGAGGTTTAGGGAAGAGCTGGTACTCCTGGCAGGGGGTGAGGAGAGGTGTCTGGTCATGCCTTTTAAACTCCTCTCTCAGTAAGCTCCTTCCGTTGCTACCAGGATCCAAACTGGAGTCTGCAGAAACAAGTGTACATGCACACTGAACAACGCATCAGGGGTGTTAGGACTCATGGTGTTTCAGCACTGCCTCCAAAAATGGAAAAGTTAAAATACCACTGAACAACAATACAATATACTGCAATTAAAACATCATACAATATCAATACTAGCATGAAACTAGTTTCAATAGAGTTTCAATGAGAACATTGGGGCACATTTATCAAACAGTAGCACATAACAAAGCCCTTACACAATTGTGTTCTTTTCATAGGCATGTTTTCAGGCTTTTTAAAAAAGGTGTCACTGTAACTGTTCGACCAGCTACATTCCAGACAGTCTAAAATGGAAAAATATACACTTATCATTTTTAAAAATATTTTTGAAGTAATACAAAAATCTGAACAACAGCTATGGGTAAAAGTGTTGGAGTTACAGGCATGTTATTCAAGTGCCACCTTGAAAATTAACTTGAGACAAAATTCTAAAGGAGTAAGACTGAACTGTCCTCTTACTTGTCAATACAACATGTGATAAGGCTGTGCAGGCACTTACCACTGGAACAGCTATCTATCCAGCTGGATACTGAAGGCACAGTGTCACTGAGATTCTCTTGGCAACCTGTTGGAAGTAAGGGATATCACTGATTTAAGTGCGAGCAACACTGTAGCATTACATTACATTGTAATGTACACTACATACATTACATGTTGCATACACAGATTTCACCATAGGGGAGAGAACAGGAGACTAATGGCTCCTTCACCTTTCATCATCTGATCCAGGTGCTCCCACAGGATGTCCCCGACGAAGTCAGGGGCCAGCTCCAGGAACTGCTCTTTCCCCAGATCACAGAGCTCCTGCCCACACAGATTGAACTGGAGGAAGTTGATGCTGGATAGAGTGAACTCTTCAGCTGCCCAACGCAGCCACTGGAGCACGTCAGCTTTGCTCCATCTGCGAGGATCTGAGAGCGTGAGAGAGAGACGGCGGAGAGGAAGACAGAGAGTAACAGTGGGAAGGAGAGAGAGACGGCGGAGAGAAAGACAGAGAGTAACCAGGGAGAGGGAGAGAGAGGGGGAGAGAGAGAGAGACAGAGGGGGGGTAGAAAAAGACAGAGAGAGTGAGAGAGATTGGGAGAGAGAGAAAGACAAATTAACAGAGAGGAAGAGAGACAGAGTGTAACAGAGAGAGACAGTGAGAAATTGAGAGGGAGGAAGAGACAGGAAGAGAAAGACACACAGAGAGATAGAGACACCCAGGAGAGAGAAAGAGAATAAGAGAAAGGAATAGGTGGAGGAGCAGAGAGAGAAAAACATTATGCAGGGAAAGAAAAGGGGAGACACAAAACAAGGGAGACAGACAAAGACAAAAACAGGGAGAGAGAGGTGCATCAGTAACTGCTTTGGGACTGTACTTCTCTGAAAAACCTGTTAAGCCTTATTAATGCCTCATTCATGTGAGAGCAAACCCCAGATCATTCCTGGTGCACAGGGGTTGTGGCCAGGCAAGGACAGGAATGGGCTTTGGGCAGGATTACGTATGAAGCTCTGAGAGAAAAAAAAGAAGACAACTCACTGCTGGAAATCCCATAGTGTCGCTGCACATTGGAAAATCCACTGAAACTGTCCCTCAAAGCCCGGCTCATCACTGCCTTACTGCATGGTGTCAGTAGTGGAACCATGCTGGGATCCAGGTCTAGAGGAAGGGGTAGATGGGAGAGCACAGTCTGTGATTAAGTAAGGGCATTCATCAAAAAGAATTTCAGCCTCATTCTCTATGTAAGAACGGAAGAATATTACAGTGCGACAGTAGTTCAAAATTCAACATCAAACATCTCAACCATTACATCATAATTTCTGCTGAGATTTTATACATATTGTAGTTCAGCCAAGAGGCAAAATTATAAACTGGCAACATCTGCAATGGATTTGAACATGATTTACCATAATGATTCAATACACAAAAGTGCAAGTTAGCCGATCTCTCAATTAACTTATAACATTAATAACAAATAATGACAGAGGAGTACAAACATAGCTTTTGAAATGCCATGTGAATTTTTAATGATTAATGTAGCAATATGTATACATATGTACTATTGCCATTCTGCAATCAGACTTTTGAGAGGTACCGCTAGCAGTGCAGTGCATTTGACATGGTTGGTCACTGGGACATTCTTGTGGGTGATTTCTGATCTTCTTTACCGTCAAGGCAGAGGATTAGAAACAGCCATAGGCTGGTAGACAGGATGTCTGCCCTTTCTAAAAAGTTCTCTGTGTACATTTTTTAATTCTCATTCAGTCATTTTCTGCTTCCTCACTTTTCCCTAATGGCCACAAACCACCACAGCTCTGGTGTGTCACATTCTCAAGAAGATTTTTTTTCCATTTCTCATTCTGCTAAAGTACACTCTGGGACAGTCCTGTCAGTGCGGCTGCATGGTATTCAGTGGGAGACTGGTGGATCCTGGATGCTTTTGAGAGGACGTACCAGGAGGGACGGAGTCCAGGCCTGAGGGCACCTCCTGAAAAGACTGCTTTTCGACCGCTGAAAACACTGACATGACGTCATCACACATATCAAAGGCCATCTGACGCTGGGGAGAGAACATAACGAGAAAAAAAACACTCTTATTGAGAGGAAATCGCTAAATCATGCCCAAATAAGGACTGGCATTAACCAATTTTTGTCATTAATGCTCACGAAGAAGAGTCAAGGGATGGTGCCCAGCACAAAACAGCAGCTAATCCATATAAATTATTAATTTTTCTGTCCAAATGTAAGAAGTGACTGCACATCTCCATACAACTGATCAACTGGTCACAAAAAAAATAATAAAAAAACAGGTGGGCTTGTCTGGACTGGACTGTCTGAATATGCATGCATGAGAACCATGGAATATTCAACATCACATTATAATCCTTAGAATATACCCAGTCTGAAATCACATCACACAGAGCGTATGTATTTCTTCTGTTCAAAAGTTCCACTTCATGCCGCTGTTGTGCAATGTAAGCTAACAGTAACAATGACGGTAAGGCAAATTTCTCGGGGAACGCTGTAATTATTATTCACACGAAACCTCTCTCTACTTATCATCGATACTCAAATCCCCTGTGGTTGCATCAACTTGCAACCCATA